AATATATTGTTCTTTCCCATTTCAAATGATTTGTAATCCAATGATGTTTTTACCAATAAAATTTTTTAAACTAAGAACTATTGCTTGTATGTTGCAAAAAAATAAAATTGGATTTCAGTGGAGTTGTATAATAAATTTTATAAATAGTATATTTTTCTGTATTAGATGTAAAAGACTTCAGCATGCAAAGTTTATAGAAATCAATACTTTTCATGATGTAAAAGTTACTCTATAAATAACAATAATAAACGAAGTAGGAATCAAATAGCAAATGCCTAAAGTTATTGAGTATCAAAGAATGCTTCTAGAACTTTTTGGAAGCTTTTTCTCAAGTTGCTAAAGTTTCTCAGCAAATATCACTGAAATCCAAATTTATTTATATTTATTGAAACAGTCTTTTTGTTTTAACTATTTCAATTCATAATCCAATATTCATAGTCCAATGGATTACCAGTAGGACCAGGTTTTACTTTTGATATATGGCGAGGGATGTCAGAGAAGAATGATGAAAAATTAAGGTTTATTTATGTATAGTTTATTTAAAAAAAAAAAAAATTTTTTTTAAACCCTATATCAATTTACAATATCAGTTGTTAAAATATTTGGCTTTAAAAGAGCATGATATAGCATAAGCTTTTTTATAATGAGTTTGATAATAATTATTACAAAATAATAGCTTGAATAAGGAATATAAATCGAAAAACTTGTTTGAGTAAATTAACATTCTTTAATGATGATGGTAACAAGCGGTATATGTATAACAAAACAGATTGCGAGAATAGCAAAGAAAATTAAGAAGAAATAATAGCTTTATTTGCTACACAAAAGTTGCAAGCACATAGAATTACTAAAATGCGTCAAAAATACAGAGAGAAAAATATACTAAAAATTCATGAAAAAAGAAACTATTAAATGAAAAAAAAATATTTAATACGTAAAAAAAACATTTTTATTAAAAAGAATAAATTTAAAAGCCGGAAGACAAAAACAATGAAAAAATATAGTATATATTTTTGTTTTCCGACTTTTTAAATAAAAACGATTTTTTAAATATTTAAAACTATTTTAACCCTATTAATTTGAATAATTAAACCAGTAAAGGTATAAGGAGATTAATGGAAACTCTTTCAGTGCTTCAAAAGCAATCAAACAGGTTTTGATATTCTAATTTTTGCATACATTTTTTTAAATTTTGAATAAAATTATAATAGCCACCAAGGTAGACCATTTATAGGAGAAAGAAAAGACATACAGATGGAAAAATACACATGCTAATACCAACAAAAGATAATTCGACTCCTGTGCTCTTTGCATTCAAAGTGTGAAACCCGCATCAGAAACTAAATAAGAAAGAAATATGGAAAAACTACCAGCCCTTGGGTGCTTTATTTACGTCGCACAACAGCTGCACAATGGGCTACTGGCGACGGTCTGGGAAACATTCCTGAGGATGATCCGTAGACATACCATCGAAATTTTGATCCTCCGCAGAGGGAATGGCTCCCCTGCTTTTGTAGCCCGACGATCTGCTCGCGAAGTCGAGCACTTTACAGTAGAACAGTTTAACGAGGACCAATACTGCTTGCCCTGGTTCCCTACGCAGGCTGCTCAAAGTGGTCAATCCACCCGTTTGATGACCGCAGCCAGTGATGCTTGATTGAGGTATTCTACTGGAAACTGTGTCTTTACGATCAGTCCACAGCGGGACTACTAGCACAAGTATTGTACAGAATGTAATGGAAATGGTTCCTCAGAGATCGCTAGCACAATATTCAAAATTTCGCTTTATGTGACCCTCCAAATTCACCTGCCATTTTGCATACAGTGAGAATGGGCTTGAGAAATAATTATTTTGAATTTTTTCTGTGATTAACTTGATTGTAACCGCGAACGTGAAGTTAGGATTACGTGAACTTTCTCACCCCACGAAACTGGAAAAATTCCATTTAACGCATCTTTGAAATTGACCCTTATCATTTTTAGAATCCTCTTTGAAAAATACGTCATGGATAACAATCAATTACCGATACCCACAATTGGCACAATTATCGCTGTTTGAATCAAAGTAGAAATTAAAGTTGAACATCCATCAAAGTAAATTACGTCACATCAAAGTGAGAGACAATTACAAATACAGGCAACTTTTTATATATTTATTTAATTTCAAAAACAAAAATTTTCCTCTTTTCATTAATATAATCACAGGGTTGGTTAAACTGCCTATATCAATGTCTAATAAAATATGATTTTATTTTTTAAACTTCATTAAATAATTTTAAAATTCGAATGAATTTTAAGAACACAGAAGAGTCCCGCAGTGGACTGATCGTTAAGACACGGTTCCCAGCAGATCACCGAAGTCAAGCATCACTGGCTGCGGTCAGTGTGCGGGTGGATGACCACTTGGATCAGTCTGCGTAGGGACCGAGGGTGTGCGGTATTGGTCCTCGTTAAACTGTGCTACCGTAAAGTGCTCGACTTCGCGAGCAGGTCGTCGGGCTACCGAAGCGGGCTACCTCCGCAGAGGATCAAAATTGTGATGGCATGTCTTCGGATCATCCTCCGGGATGTTTCCCAGACAGTCGCCAATAGCCCATTGTGCAGCTCTAGTGCGACCTAAATTAGCAATAAGAACACAGAGGCCGAGATTATTTATTTGATATATCATACTCTCAACAACAGTGTGTGCCTTTTTTTCCCTTTCGCATTTTCCCTTTTCCCTAAAATTTCGCGGTTCCCATTTTCGTTTTATTTACTTTTATGACTTACTTTGATTGCGCGCGCCTACTTTGATCAAAGTACTTTGATCGTGTCAACCCGCCTTTATTTACGAGATAAATTAAAAACAGACATATGAGCAGTTTTTTATCTTGCTTTATCCTGATTCCTATTCACATGAATTTAACTTTTAAACGATAAAATTTTCGATCCGAAATCGCAGTATAATCTGTGACATTTTTTCACTTAAAATAGGAGAACATCGGGATTCATAAAATTTTTAGTTTATACACTTCATAAAATTATATGAATTTCGAATTTCACATAGTTCTCATTTTTAATTGAAATCCATATTCCACCTTCCCATTTTAATAATCACTCAGAAGATGTTCTTTTTATTGATATCTTATAAATAGTTTGACAAAGACTCTGTTTACATTTTTTGAGTTAGAATATCGTGTTCTACTTATATTTGCCTATTCTTCTCAGATTTATCGGGTTCTATTTTTAGTATGTGTTATGTTATTCAAATTACGCAAATTATATCGAGTGAATAATTTTAACAGTTTCGAAAATTCTATAAAGATTTTGATGCATTTAAATTCTCCACTAATGACGAAACACAATTCACACATAGACATTAGTCCTTTCGAGCGTTTATCTTTAAGTAACAGATTGAATAAAAGCCCATCGGAATATGCTTTCCAATTACTTTTCAGTAATACGTAAACTATATTCCAAGTACCCAAGATATTTTTAGAAAAATTAGGAGAAACTTTTAATTAGGAGGAAATTAGGAGGAAAAAGGAGAAACTTAGAAGTTGCTCAAATTTCAAATATTGTTAAAGAGTTTTAAGTTAAGTGTTATTTTGCAAATTAAAGGTAATTTTTAAGTTTTCAATTCTCAACTTTACATATACATTAGTTATTATGCTTAAACTATATAAACCATATTATGCTATATCTATAATGCTTTTAACTGTTGTAAAATGGAAAAGTTAATTTATAAACAGTAATATTACAGCAAAAGTAATAAATGTGGTTATTATTAAAACTAATCGGTCAATATTAATAAATAACCTCTTATTTTGGTCAAAGTGAGAAATATCGAAAGCTATTCACTTTAACCACTTACTATCAATTATAACCAATGAAGTTTGGTCAATGTGATTAAGCGGTTTATGTAGCATTGGGACATGGGTGTGCCTCTTTGTATATGTGTTACGGTTGAAGTGATAAATCTGGTTATCATTAATACTGACAGGTCAAAATTATTGATAAGAGCTTCCTTTGGTCAAAGGGAGAAATAAAAACGAAAGATATCTGTATCGTGATCTGAGGCAGTATAGTCACAAAGTCTTGGAAAATTCCGGGCATATACACCGAAAAGCCATTACATTATGACCACCCTGCTAACATGTAGGACCACCTTTAGCCCTCAAAACTGCTAGCTCACGCCGTGGGATTGATTCCACAAGATGCTGATAGATAGTCTGAGGTAGCTGGTGCCAAGCGCTCTCCAACTGGTCCTCCGATTCCCTCACATTGCGAGGGGGTAGCGTGGCAGCACGAATTTGGTTTTCCAAGTAGGGCCACAAATGCTCTATTGGATTAAGGTCAAGTGAATTTGGGGACCAAGACATGACTTGAAAGTCACTGGAATGTTTCTCGAACCAATCCATGACGATTCGACCCTTATGGCATGGTGCATTATCCTGTTGGTAAACACCATCCCCCGCAGGAAAAACTGTTGCCATGAATGGGTGAACTATGTTCGAGTAGCTTACAGACATCAGGGATTGTTCTATGAGAATTATGGGTCCTAATGTGCCCCATGAAAACATTGTTCCTGGGCGAGAAACCATGAAAACCTGGGTGAGCCCATTGTTATAGATGGAGGGTGGTCATAATGTAATGGCTCTTCGGTGTATGTATATACATATATATTTCAGATTACAATCAATTTGGCGCTTTGGCGATTGTAGTTGGCGTCGCAAATCACAACACAGAGTTATCACCAATAAAAACGCGAAAGAATGACATTGACCAAACGTCTGTGTCTATTAATAATAATAACCTGTTAATGTGATAAATTCGCTTAAATTTATTTGATTGTTATTAATATTGACCGGTTAGTAGTATAACTCACTATTCACATTGACTGTAACATAATAAATTTATACACTGTTATGTTTTTAATTTCGTTTGATTTTAAATGCATAGTAAAAAAAAACATCTGAATATAGATTAATAAAGTTTTTGAGTAAAACTTATTTTTCATCAAATTATTTGCTCGAGGAACTGATTTGTTGTGTCTATCGACTACCTAGTTTAACATTTGACTATTTTTTCAGAAGTATTTTTTTAAAATTCCAGCGGTTAAGAATCTGGAAAATTCTACTGAATCAATTAATGTTTAATTAAAAAATTGTGCGAAAATTTTAAATCCTTTATTCAGGTTAACATTTCAAAAGAAAAATACAAGTTCTAAAAATGTAAAATACATAAATGCACCAAGAATACAAAAGTGCATAAATATACATAGAAATTGAAATACAAAGGGAAATATAAATAAAACCCGTGATTTTACACATGTCCCCCGAATTCTTTCTTTGGAAGTTTGCCTGATGAATCTGAAATTAGAAAATTAAAAAAATAAATAAATAAATAACCTTTAAGAAAAGGAGTTTTAAAGTTTATAGTTTGTCAATAGGAAATGACATATTATATAATTAAAATATTATATAATTAAATTAGACTAAGTTAAGAGAGCTTACGCTAAGACATTTTTTAAATGACATTTATACTCTTTTCAGTTCTTTATGTACGACATTAGTAGCATTTCACCCCCTTCCATGCTTTTTGAAAAGATAAAGCTGCGTCGAACTTCAAAATAAAAAAAAGTTTATATTTTTCACTCAACTTAAAAAACATATACTGAGAACGTGAAAAAAAAGGTATTATAAACTGAGTCTGGAGCAAAAACAGAGCAAGAAAAAAGAGAAGAATAGGATGCGTTTCGATCATCTAAGTAGAGTTTGACTGAAGGAGAAAAAACTTATTGGTAAAATAATATATGGACATAATCAAGGTTTATAGATTTAAGGGGAATAAACCATAATATATTTTTTGTAACGTCACTCAAAAGGTCCATGTATTCTCCAACAGGAACTAGCAAAGCTTTGTAGTGCATATTTATAGTTTTTGTGCTCTATTAACACCTTTAATAATATTAGTATACTTCGTAACGTAATATTAGCGTATTTAGTAACCTATTAAAAACATCAATTAACATAATACCAGTAGTAACTAATTACCAAAAGTGCTTATCACCAATAATAAGGTAATTTTTGAAGTTCTCCTAGCTGAGTAAGTACCTCTTCTCCTTTAAAGAACCGATTTAGAAAAAAAAACTTTTTATGCAATTTGTACCTAGTACCAAAATTAATGAAGTATCATTGGCGTCAATCACAATTTCTCAATTCTTCAGCAGATCTTAACTACGCTTCCCTGATTTAAATTTTTAATGCAATAATTTATATAAATCTTTGGCCAATACCGAAATAAAATAAACCAGCTGTAATTCTAGAAAATATATAGTAGCGATTTTTATAATCATATTTGGCTAACTGATATCGGAACTTAATTCAAAGGCTTAGAAAATCACCAAACTATTATTGACGACTGCGATGCTTCATTGAATATGATATTAAATACTACCCGTATTTTCATGAAAGGTGCTTGAGTAATGGGAACATATTACATCAAGATGCGTAAGTGTATAATATAACTCATTTTTCAAAATAATTATTTTCTATTATAACTTTTTACTTTATAAAACTCATTTTTGATTGATTAGAGCTGCAAGTTAGGAAGTCATTATCTATATATATATTTCTCTTACACGGCGACAAAAAAAAAGCTTCATTACAACTCCCTGAATGGCAACGCTAGAAAATCGACCAATGATTGCCGCTAAAAATGTCACATGCCAAATCTAGATGAAGTGTCTAAGCATATAGCGCTTTTAAAAACGGAAATAACCAGAGAGCGTCAGCTGCGGCAATCTCATACTATTAAGCTAGGCAGAAGTGAGTAGTCTTTGTCGATAGATCTCTATTTTAGTATTTTGTCGAAAGCGCTTTTTTTCATGAATTTATATATTACGAACTTATTTGCCAATTTTTGTTCTGAATAGCAGATTTGTAAAAGATACAGATTTTATCTGTATCTTATACAAATGCGTAGTAATATTTTGATCATTTACATAGATTATCAACACTTACCACAGTTTTTGTTAGATATTTGGGAAGGGCGAATCCTGGTAGGTAAAGGTAAAGCTTTCTTTTTCGGCTTTTCTATAAGTTTCAGTCCACTATGGCCAATTTCTTTTGGGGTACAAAACTGAAAAACATTCAAGACTCATATTAAAATATTATAACAGAAAAATAGAATTTTAAGAACAAAAAAGTAATATACACAAAAAATCACTACCAGTTAAATTTGGAGAACTACAATGCTACTTTGGTAAATATATCTATATTTGAGTTGAAATAGGTTTAAAGTGATATTTTTATAGAATTTAGGAAATAGATTTATAGTTTAATCATTAGCAATAGTAAATAAATGTTAGAAATTAATATAGCCTAGAGTCAGTCTAGGGTATATTAAGGCCTAGGCACTCATCAAGCGTTTGTACACTTGTCGATGTAGTAGATACTTGTTGATGTAGTAAAAGTTTACTGTTTTTTGTCTAATGTACATAAAATCCTACTTCAAAATTATTTTAAATTAGTCACTTAATGCCTTCCTTCACTGGCATCTACAACATTTAAAGATTTGGTAAATTAAATTAATGTTTCAAATAGTTAAGTAAGAGTTTTCACCAGAAGTTGTATTTTTTTAAAAAATCCCGGCAAATGTTCATTGAACACAAATTTCTTATAGTATGGAATGATCACGTGAGAAAGAATTATTACTTCACATGGATTATGTAGTTAGGAGAATAAACTAATATTTGTACAACAATACAATTAGTTTAGTTTTATGCTTCGTTACAACACAATTTTAGCTTCAAATTCACTGGGGAAAATGTTGGAATATTTCCGGAAATACGTAGTCTGATTTCTCGGCCCTTGGCATAATACACAGAAACATTCCATTTCTCATTAAAGGAAAGTTGCCTAAATAGTTCCTCTCCCAAAACGTGCAACCTCCTTTTCCTAAAGAATTGTATAAAGGACATTCTTTATGGTTAATTAGGAAGATTTTTCAGGAGAAGGTCCATTGAAAAGAAAAAATTAGATGTGTAATGCGTTAAAAATTTCATGTTAATCGATTTCATAAGTTTTCAAATTAATTTTTAAGCAACTGTAAAATGTGTAGATATTACTAAATGCATCACAGATTATTAAATACATCATATAATTATCAATATTTCGCAAAGTTCGACTTTCTTTGCTAGCTTTTGCTAGATGAAGGTTTACAAAACTCTTTGTTCCAAACAATTCGTAGTTGCCTTAATCATACTCTGTGTGCATTCGTTCGTTCTAAATCGTAAAGGTGCAATTTCGGAGAAATATATCAACTTCAACTATTGAACAGGTCTATTTTTAAATCATTAAACTGAACTACTCCTAAAATGTAAAGAAAAGGTCTGAGAATTATTTCTGAATTAACTCTCCCCCTACACCAATGTTAATGAGATAAGTGATAAAGTGTAGTATATCTACAACTACGAAAATATAATTCCAATTCACTGGTATATATGACGTATTAACTCGATTCTATGGTGGAATATCTTTTCATAGATGAAGGCTGACACTCTCGCCACATTGGTGACCTTCGGACGTAATGTGAACACGCTTACCTTGACAGAAACTCCCACTACGATTTGAACACGCCTGCTTTGATGGATGGTCCACAAGTTAACAGTTGACTTGCTACTTGTGACTGCGGTGACATTGTCCGCCTCACGCTGTTGCTTCTCAATCTCGATCACACACATGGTATACACTCGACTTCTAAAGGCAACACATGAGCAACCACGACAGTGGTCTTAATACTGCTCTCATGGGTTCTCAAAAAAACAGCAATGAGCAACTAGTGGTATACGTTCATCGAATTCTATCACAGATATAATTCTGGTGGGGGAGTACTGTAGTGTATCTACCACTACAAAAATATAATTCCAATTCACTAGTATATAAAACATGTTAACTCGATTCTATGGCTGGGTACCTTTTCATAGATGAAACTTTTATTTTTTATTTTATATCCGTCGTTGAACAGCTGACCCAATTTTGGGTTTATGGCTAACTATCCCCCCAATGATATTCACTAGGAGTTTGCTAATGTTAATAAGATTGAAAATGTATCATTACTCGCAAACTTTTAGTGAATTGACAATTGAAAACTTAGTTTAACAGTATTTAATACATTCTGGTGAGCCAATCTTTAACTAAACTGTCTTTTGGATAGCAAGAAACCTTAATCTACATGTGAATCCAACTGGAAATTTAAGTAAAGACAGTAAGATTTCATATTCCTATGATGAGATTTATTTTCTTTATTCTCAAGAAGAAAAAAACTAGGATATCAATTTTTGCAAAGTAACGAAATTTAGCAACAACAATTTGGCGCTGTATAAAGAAAATAAATATTTCAATTGAATTAGCCTGAAATGCAGCAGAAAATATTGATTCACAGTTTTTTTTTCAGCCAATAGTGGCATCTCTTGAGGAAATGTAGAATTAATTTTAAAATTTGTAAAAAATATTCAATATAATATAAATTGGTTTCCTAAGCAAAACGCAACACATCGTACATTTCTATTGCACTATGAGTTTTTTTAAAGAAATTTTTCAAATAGCTGGTCACTTTTGGGAATATCCAAGCTACTTGACAGCGAAATCAGTTACATTTCTCTGAAATAATTACGTTTAGTGTTTAAAAAAGTAAGTACGAAAATTTTTGTCATGTTGTTACATTCGGGTTGAATTTTGAAAAGGCGCATATCTAACTGCGTCCATTTTCTTAAACACGCATTTTAGGCTATGCTCATTTTTTTAACACCCATTTCCAGCAGTGTCCAGAATAAAGAACTCTCCGATGAGATACTATTTTGACTTACCACAAATAAATTTTGCAATCAAAAATATTAAAGATATTAATAACTGTAAGCTCAATTGCAATTATTCAACATATTATGCTGTTTGCAGAAAATTTAAGTCCTATAATCTGGGATCAAATTAGTACTACAAACTAAACTTCCAATTAAAATAACATGCTAAACTAAATTAACTGAAACAAAAAATTTTTATAAATAGAGATTTTATTTTGATTCTCAAGAAGTAATAAAGTCAATTCTACTATAAATAGAATTTTTATAATTTTTTTTATGATGCTAAATCAAGTGTATTCAATTTCAATTTTCCTATAAAGAGACATATGCAGAACCTTTGTCACTTCATCATAATCATTTCCCCAAATTTTTAAATTATAAACTTTTTTTTTAGAAATAATACTTTATTTTTAAACTTTTTGAGATTTTCACTCAATAAAATTGTATATTTAAAGCTGGTTTTTTAATAAAAAAAGGTATAAACGGAGACTTAGTGCTATTCAGAAAATATAGACATTTTTCCATCGATGAGAGATATATCTCTCCATAAATTCAAGCATCAGTTAATTTTGATAATCTTTTTCAGAATGCTTGGAGAATATTCTATTATTATTTTGCCTTATAGTGTCAGCCACCATTGTGGAGAATTTTCATAAATTTTCCAATATCGTTGATTAAGTCTACTGAAGCACTTGAAACAGAATTAAAGCAGATAATATTTCTATCAGTTAACTACAGGTAGAAAATTATGAATAGATTAACAGTGTCAATCTTTAAACTGTCCTTAAGTATTTAAGCTTAATATATTTACTAAAATTTTAAATTAAAGTACTGATATGATTTTAGGATGAAGTTAGCGGTCGAGTTAAAATCCTCTAAAATAATTTAATGAGAGTAAGGAGAAATTAATAAATACTATAAAATATTTCTGTGATTTTTTTACCTCTTTTTGGAGTTCAGATGCATCTTGAATAGCATCTTTAAACTCAGGAAAAATATCTTGCTTATCCAAAGACTTTACTTGCTTATCCTTTCCGTTGCTTGCTTTACAAATTTGCTGTTTTGTTTCCGTTATTTTATTTGCATTAGTCTTTCTGTTAACTTTTTCTGTAAGTAAATGGGAATATGAGCAGTAAAAATTTTTATTAATAAACAGAGAAAAAGCTTTCTCTCTAAGAACACCATTCTTTTGTTTATTTATATATATATATATATTCTTTAGACACATTATAAAGAATAATTTTTTTCGTAGGCTAATTATTCTTTATTCAAAAATATCGCATTTATCGTAAAGGAATCTGTCCTGATGAAGAGCTTTACGTTTACCCATTAAAAGATTTTCTATTTATTCTTCTTGCCGGCCAGGTGGCCGAGCGGTTAGCGTGCCTGACTGCGAAGCCATAGGCTGCGGGTTCGAATCCGGCTCTGGGCATGGATGTTTCTCTCTCTCTTTGTGCTGTTCTCTGTTGTGTGTGTGAATGATGTGTGAATGTGGCCCACCCTATAAACGGGTTTGTGGCAGTGTGGCGTGGGCAATGTTGCTCGCCTCCGTGACTTTGGTTCACAGGTGCCCACTGGGTAACGCGAAATGAGCAACAATTCTGGCATAGTATAGGCAAAGATTCAAATTCAGTGCCTGCCATTGGAAAAAAAAATATTTATTCTTCTTTGTATGTGTTTATATAGATATCAGCTATCTACCTTATTTTGCTAACATTTCAGAAAAATGCTCACATGAAGTGTTTCGTCGAAAGAGCACAAAATGTAAAAAAATTTAATCTGTAGAGTTGAAGTTTCGGTTATTTTCTATGTTAAAAATATCTTTAAATATGCCTTCAACATTTTATTTTTGTGCGAAGTACATTTATCAGTGGCAGCAGACTAAAGCTGAAAATTCGATAAGACATAGAATTCATATAAGAGCTTGATAAGACTTAGCATGATCATTTCTCTATTTTACATTTAATATTTTTCCCCCTATGTGCTGCACAATCAGTCTTCCCGATGAGCAGACCTAGTGCGTTCTCCAGAAGTGGTATCCACTTTTTCAGGACCACCACAATGGGTGAGATACCGTTGGCCATGTTAATTTGGACATCTAGTTTCTGCCACACTAGATAGCAGCACCGAGACTCTATTTGGATGCTTTTACATTTAATATAGAGTTCAAAATATTTTTAAGTAGTGATAGAAAAAAGTTGCTGTAATTTATTAAAATATTAATACACTATCTCTGATACCATTAAAAGAAATATTTTCCGTAACTATTGAAAAGCAATAGTAGGATCGATAGTAAAAAATTTAAAAATATATCTTCCACCAATGAAATATTCTTTTCTATATTTAAAATTTTAACACTAAACTAAGTACTTTTTAACTTTAATATTTGGAAGAAAGAAGAATTAATATAAATGTTCCCTTAGATGATATAAAATTGGATCACGCATGTTACACTAGACTTAAACGTTAACGCGTACTTAGGGTATAAATTGAATCAAATAGGAGTACAAACTATATTAAACAAATAAATAAATAAATAAAGAGGAAATATTTCCAGACTACTTCGTATTCGTGAGAATCAAGTATACTAAAAGAAAGTAAACCCCTGAGGGATTCTAGATAAGAAATAAAATCGAAATCACGCGTTTTCACTTAGCTTAAAAGCATAAGTATTCAAAGTTTCGGTCTTTGGTAATGCAATTAAAACTAGTATAGTAACTAGTATTAAAACTAGTTTTCCATATTCCTAGAATTGCGATGAACAGTGACAGCTGACCTTAAATAAGTAAAAATAAATAAATGCATGATTTTTGTTAATGTTTTTCAAACTTTATCAAGCTATCCGCTTTTTACTGTCATATTTAGAAGTCTAACAGGAACAATATTAATATTTTTCTCACTTTTTTGTAGTTACTAGAAAACTATGCTTCCTTAGAAATTTTATTTCTAATTCGAGTAAATTGGAAAAAAGTCTGATTTCAATTTTTTCCTAACAATATAGGCAAGTTTATCAAAAAGTAGTACCGCAAAAAACTTCTTGATTGTAGAAAATGTTGACTATCATAAGCTGGTGTCGAGCACCAACAATAATCTACCCTATCTCCATCTTGATTAAATGAATTTCTAAAATTGCGTTTTGCTCTCTTGCTTAATCTAATAACAAAGTCACGGAAAATGACAGCTAATAAATAAAAAATTGAAATTAGTTTAACTTTTCAATTTATACCGGAATTCGCCACTTTTCAGTTTTATGCATCTATACATATATATTAGTCATTAGAAGTTATAATAACTACCATGATTTATGACAGACTCTGCTTTGGATCTATTCTTCTCTTGATTTTTAAGCACTTTACCAGATCTGTATTTAAAGGTCCCTGCAGTTTCGGTTTTCAAAGCCGGTGATTTGATCTGAAGAAGAAAAACATTTCAGTATTAATTAACTTAAAAAAATTTGTAACAAAATAATAATATAGTGTACTAACATCAATAAAACCATACGGTGCTATAAGAAATGACTAATAAAAAAAAGGTAGAAAGATTACTGAAGTACCAAGTTGCTGTTTTATCCGAGATGTATCTATAAAAGGACTCCACCTTGGTAAAAAATCATTATATAACTGCAATTTTAGCGAAATACTGTAATTTTGATGTGCTTACTACTTTACTCAAAATGAAGCCTTGCACAGTGCACAAACAAAATAAACACACTGCTGTGTTCACCTAATGAGCTCGTTTTAATAGGATTCAATGATTCGAGCGCCAATAACTTCATACGTCAACTCACTGACTGGATCAGCCGCAGAGGATCGCCACGAATAGCCACTTACCAAGTTTTACCATTTATTCTTGCAGTTTCGGTTTTATTACCCATTGGTAAAATGGGTGTTGTTTTGTGTTTGATGGCGCACTCACCTTATTTGAACGTCATCACACTCTTAAACTGTGTTTAAGAGTAATAGTAAACAACGCGCATGCGTCGTCATTTCATGCGTTTCTATGGCAACCGCAACTGTTTGATAATTTTTTTCAGATTTCTCGTTTTCACTTTTAATTTTGTTCTGCATTAATTTTTGAGTTTATTTTTGAGATATGGAACCAGAGAGATCCCTTAAATACTTGAGTTGAGAATGAAAGAGAATTTTATCATTTGAACGATATTTTTGCTTTTATTGTTTTAAGTAAGAATCAGAAATTCTAATCTACAGTTCAAGCTGGATCGTTTTCAATACTTATTCAGGTGAATATCATAAGTAAAGAGGGTCTCAAACTGATTGACGTGGTCCCAAAGGTTTGAGTTGAAGCAGGGAAAAAAACGATGCCAAGGCCAGAACTTGCCGAGACTAAGAAAGCTAAAGCCAAAGATCGTAGGCGGGGAAAAAATTAGACAGCAACCATTTTGCCAATGGGTAACCTGTATTTTTTTCTTCTTTTTACCACGTTTATATCAACTTGCCTTCGTGTATGTTTGTTCGGGTGGAATTTTGTAATCGATTTTAAACTAACTTCCCGACTAGCCACAGACTTCAAATTTAGTACATAGTTTAGAATTGGATGACAATGCATGAAAATAAGGAGAAGGACATGCAAAGTAAAATAAATTTAAAATTAAAGAAAAATTAATATTTTCGCGATTGTCTTTTGTTGTCGATTAGATTATTTCAAATTAGTGTCACATGTCAGTTGAAACGTTTTGTGTACAGTGAGTGAAAAAATTGAGATTTTGGAAGCGAGTACAAAAAAAAAATCAAAGTATAATTATTTTTTTAAAAAACCACGTTTTTGTAGTGGAGAATAATAATTAAAAAACAAAAATTTGGAAAACGAAAAACGTGGGGCTCATGAAATACATAACAGTTCATATACACAGACTATTATACACATTTTCATACTCATACACATGCACAACCACATCCGCATATACATTCACATACACATGCATATACACAAACCTATTCCACATATCCACATTCAGATACAATTACAGATATACATACACGTATTCTCATGAGCACACATACTGTTACTGTTATGTATTTCACGCTCCACACGTTTTTCGTTTCTTAAATTTGTTTTTTAATTATTATTCTCCACTACAAAAATGTGGTTTTTAAAAATATTATTTTATTTTTTTTTGCTTTCAATTCCTAGTTTCCTGTATATTTTTCCAGAAATATTGTTTTAAATTGCAGTTTTAAAGTTCCCTCTTATTCCTCTTCTTGAATTATATTTCTCAATATCCAATCAATCATAGTTAAGAATAATATCCTTACCATCATACAACCTTGCTTAATCATGATCTAAAAGTGCTCTGTCTGGTTTCCATTTACTTCACAGCATTTTGAATCCCTGCAAAGTTCTTTAATGACATAAATTTTTCGAAAATGCCAATAAAACTCTAAAATTCTCCATGGCATATTTCTATTAACAGAATCGAAAGCTTTCTGAAAGTCAATAAAATTCATACATAATGATGTGTTAAATTAGAGATCCAGTTAAATAATATCCTTTAAAGTAAATATCTGGTGAATTGTTCCTGCATCACTTCTGAAACCTGATAATTCCTTACGTAGTGGATTTTTAATATGTTGATTAAAATTTTTCCAAATACTTTGGCTGAAATCGACGTGATAATTAAGGTAATGAGCGGAAAACAGTTTTATCATATCCACCAATAAATATTGACTACAACATGAAATGTCTATAAGATATTAAAGTGATACATATTTTATGTACAATATTGGTGATTAAAATCACCATCTAAGCGCAGCGGAGTGATTAAGATTTTAACTAAAGTCTAATATTTAGTTACTGAAATGATAAATGTTACACATACGATAGTGGTGGTTGAATTCCCTTTCTAAGTGTAGAAGGGTGATGATGGTTTTTAACCATGATGAAAATGTAATTTTTTCCGAACTAAAATAAGCAAAATTGTGCAAGGGAAACTTTCACATCAAATACAAATTTGAAATTTTGAACTTTAAATTTGAAATCCTAAATACACTGGTTATCATAAATTAAGGAAAAATCACAAAAATAGCGATAACTCTTTCAAAAGTAAGCCAAACCGTGCAAAATTTGCATATGTTGTCCACTAAGAGTAGCTGAGTAAAATTGCAATATGCAAATTAGTGGCGCTGCACTCGGCTTACGTCATCTGCCTGGAGCATAAAAGTCCAAGTTTGAGAGAAAGCACACAAATTTTACTGTGATTGCGACATTGAAAATCTGAGATAGCCAATTCGTAATAATGACCTCTAGGCATCATTTGCCTGAAGAACTACGATGGAGAGCCATCGGGAGACTAGAGGCAGGGCAGAGTCAATCAGAAGTGGCCAGATGGCTAAATGTGAGTCCATCTGTGGTTCATAGACTTTGGAGGCAATTTCAAACCACAGATTCGGCATCTAGGAGGTTCAGTCAAGGACGGCCAACTGTTACGACCAGTGCCGATGACCGATATTTGACATTAAGTGCACGCAGGAATAGAACCGCTACTCCGACACATCTTAGATCCTCTCTTGCTGCAGCCACCGGAAGGTTGGTGTCAACGTCAACTGTGCGCAGAAGGCTCCACGAAGGTGGTCTGTATGCGAGACGACCAGCCATTTGCGTGCCGCTCACATCACGCCATAGGAGAGACCGTTTGCAGTGGGCCCGACAACATGTCCACTGGACGTCAGATCAATGGAGGCCTGTTCTCTTTACGGATGAGTCCAGGTTTAGTCTAGAAAGTGACAGTAGACGTTATTTGATATGGAGAGAACCTGGGACCCGTTATCATCCATCAAACATCCGTGAAAGAGATGCATACGGAAGAGGCAGTGTCTGTGTTTGGGGAGGCATATCCTTAGGAGGGCGCACATACCTCCATGTCTTTCCAAGGGGAACCGTGAATGCTCAGGTTTATCGAGACAACATCCTTGATGCTTATGTGCGCCCATATGCCGGGGCAATTGGTGATTGCTTCCTGTTACAGGACGATAATGCAAGACCACACAGAGCTCGCATTGTTGATGATTATCTTCAACAGGAAACAATTACTCGCATGGAGTGGCCAGCTCGATCCCCGGACTTGAATCCTATCGAGCACGTTTGGGATGCTCTAGGGAGGCGTGTATCTGCCATCAATCCGCCCCCTCAGACCCTTGCCACGCTTGCAACTGCTTTACAAGAGCAATGGCTCTCACTTCCTATTGAACTGATAGACCGCATAATTGAAAGCATCACACATCGCTGTTTGTGCTGTATTGCTTCTAGAGGCAATCATATTCCATATTAAAGGTACTTTTTCTATTGCAAACCGATACTTCCAATTTGTTTATTTTATACATGTGCTAATTTCTATACTACTATTAATGTCTGATAATTTCTTTTTATGTTGTTTAATACCTTACTATGTGTTGTATATTGTGGGTAAGTTTCATAAAATTCCATGTGTAATTTCTTGAGTTATCGCGATTTTTGTGAATTTTCCTTAATTTATGATAACCAGTGTATATTAAAATCTAAATTTTCTCTACTGTTATCTTCTATGAACATATTATAATAAGTCGAATTTAACATGTTATAACTAAATTTTTTTACGAAAAAGCATTTTTTTACGAAAAGCAAATACAGAAATCATTGAATAATTTAGACTCAAAAATGTTTTGCCTTTTACATTTTGCTTCATTTATTCATCATAATTTATTCACTTTTTTACCTCTCAAACTTAGTTTAGGAAGATTAAATCATTGTGGCGTCAAATGAGATTTGAATAAGTGAATTTCCGGTGAAGTCTAATTTAATTTTCAAAATATGGAAATGATACAAGGTATTCCTTTACCACTACTTTTAAGATATGTTAATAACGAATTTTTTTATGCTAAACATCATACATATTAAGGGCTTCGTAAATTAGTATTTAAGCATGAGAGAAACCGAATAGCTAGTGACAGAAGCTGAAAGAAAACAACACTCATTTTGTTGCCTCATAAACCTTTAATGAGTTTCTTACAACCACTTTTCCACTACCATCAGTTTCCTGCAGAATTCCAATTTGTTTTGATATTTTCAGCCTCGCCTTACCCTCCAATAATTCGTTAGATTCCCAAAAGGTTCTTTTTTCCAGCTTCAATATTAATTTAAGACATAATGCACTTTATTTTCAACTATTTCTAAATATATATATATTATGAACAGGGATTACAAAACATTCTAAAGTTCCAAAAATTTTTTTTAAATTTGTTACACGTTTTTAGAATAGTAATATCGTAAACAAAATTGCTACTGTATATTTTTATACTTTCCATGTATTTTATTTTACAACCAGCGTTGAACAGCCGACGCAATTATGAGTTTACGACTACCAATATTCAATTCCGTAGCCTAATTTAGCCCAATCCAGAAGACAAGGGAAATCTTGGATCAAGTATTGGTAGAAATTTGCCTTCGTAGAGGACTTTTTGATGGAGCTAACCTGCTTTTGCGCTACATGAAGAGAAAAACGTTGAAAACCTCCTACGGTTATCATGACGGCAAGGGGACTCTAACTCATGATCCGTCTACCACTAAGGATATTTTACCTCTGCATGACCCGGTTGCCGAATTCGTAACAACCAGCCTTTTCTGGGATTCAAACCCGGATCATCTCGTTGGGAGGCAAGTGCTCTATCTCCTGAGCCAGCACGTCTTTCCTATGCATTTAGATATGAACCAGGTCTGCTTCGATTTTATCGCAATAGAGATGTTATAAGAGAAAAGATGAAAATAGTTGTTTACTTTTTGTTCTCCTCTCATTGTATCACCCATTTTGGAAGAAGTGGAGGTATATCTTAAAATTTAAATAAACATATATAAAAAAAATACCAAAGTGCATTTTATTTACCTTTGAATTTGTTGGAGACTGCTCCAGCTTAGGTTCTCCAAATTTAACAGGCTTTTTATCTCGGAAGCTTAAACTTTGTTTCAATTTTGCGACACCTTTGGGAACTATACCTTTTTTGACTGCAGGCGGAAGATTCGTTGCTTGCTTTGTTAGCGAAGTGCTAATTTTTCCTTTGCTGCGGATGGAAAGGTGATCTAAAGCATAAAGATTAAACAATCTAAATCAATAAAGTAAATTATCTGATTCTTAACAAAATCATTGTATAAAAAATTGCTTTAATACTGTAATGATTAGTTGATTATCATAAATGTATTTAGTAATTTTTCGTAGTTCTAAAAGTATGTTGAGGTACCAAAAAAAAAAAGAAAATTAGCATTAAGAGACCTAAAATTTCAATTTATCCCTCGACTAATTTATTTGTGAGTATATTTTTCTGATTTAGGTCCTTCCCATGACTGAAGAATCAAGAATCAGAGTCTATAAAAATGTTTATTTAGATGAAGTACATTTTTGTGTTTGATTTCGTTTTTCAAAATATCACATACACTAATTAGCATATTTAAAGTTAAGCCCTTGAATCAAAAAAATTTAATCTTTCGTTCATTAAATCAAATGATATTTACAATGTTTCAGTTTGCGATATTTTTTCTTAAATTAGGAAGCTCCGCTCATCCAATCCTCTTGGTGTCTTCTCATTCATCATTGTTCATTTTTTTTAATAGCCTATTCTGAAAAATTTATTATAAAATATATAATTATTATGATTTTCTTTAAGCACATTTCGTTAATTTGTTAATTGTAATAAAATGAGCGGCCAACAAGATTTAAAAAAAAATTATCTGCGAAACTGTGCTTGAAAAATCAAACTTAGAATGCAGAATATGTGGATATTAAGAAGTAAATGAGAAATAATTTAGTTGTTAACAATATGTAATGGTAATATTGCATAACCTAATATCATATAACAGTTTAAATTATAACAGTTTTTGTATTATTAAACTATTATATTTATAATAGTTTCGATATGAATATTAAAATTTATGTCTAACAACATCAATTCAACACTAATTTTTATTATATTTATTCTTTTCTATTTTGGGGAAATCTTGATCTCAAACCAAGCAAAAGTCTTTAAAAGGAAGAAATTGGAGGAAACAATTTTTTTCTGCAACAATGGATAAATAATCATTATTTAATACAAAAATAAATTCGGTAAAAAAAGCACTTAAAAGAGCAATAAATTTCAAACAAGAAACTAGTTTTAAATTTATAAATGAAAATGTCCTTTTCAACACACTCGAATTTAAATTTTTTAGTTGCATTTCTATGGAATGTAGTGCGATCCACATGATATTTCTTACTGCCAGTTTAACAGTTAATAATTATCGAAAATCAAATTTTTTATTTCATAGTACAAGTTTCTGTATTTTCAACTTTCGAAGTCTTAAAAGATATTGCACAGAACAGAGCTCAGTTTCCAAATTAATTGTTTTCCTATTTCATACAAATATTCTTAGTTTGTATTTATATCATTCAATCTGTATACTTCATTATTTATTTTATACTATAAAATTTTTACAAAAAAAAGAAGGAAAAAAACGATTTTCAAGTTGATTAAAAATGAGAAGATAATTTCTTCGAACCTTAATCTTTCAAAAAACTACAAATTTTCAGAGTTGATGGAATTTTAAGAAAATGGTAGTTTTACGACTTTCGTGTTTGGTTTGACAAAAATAAATTATTTCCATTTAGGAACTAATGCCCAGTAGGTGTGGTAGATGAAGTCTTCGTTTTCCATGGCTTTAGTCGGGGTTCCAGTTCCCCGTTCTAAGGGATTGGTGTCTGCGCTGACTAGACTTTATCCAAACGTATCTTAGTTGTTTGAAATGGTCTGAAACTCATTTTTCTGCAATTTCTCTGGGGTGAAAAATTTCAAAATGGCTCAGAATTTCTTTTTTCCATCTCCAGTTTCACAAACCATAAGAAATATTTTCCGAAAATCCCTAATTGTTACATAATTGATAAAATCCTTAAAAAAATTTTTTTTTTTTTTTAAATAAGAGACAAAAGAAATTCATGGCTTACTGCCCTCTGCACAAAAAACTAAATATTAATTCCAAAAATTTTTAAGAAATTTCAAAAATAATTTACATTTGTCAGCACATTGCGCTGTTTACAGAAAAATTGTAAAACATTGTTTTGTGGTGCATTTTAGATCATCCTTTTCTTTATTATTTGGTCTTCAGACTAAATTATATTGTTACTGCAATCAGTTGTTAACCTGAAAACTTTTTTTATAGTTTTTCTCAGTTAATAGCACTGCATGCTCCGAACTTTGTAAATAAATTTAAAAATTGGTTTTAAGAAAGTCTTCATAGTCTCCAAAGTGCAAAGCAGCAGACATTATATTGTTCCGAATCTGATCTTCATCCGGTTTTTTAGTTTTTTAAATCGTCGCTCATTTGTGGGATACGCGGAATCAGTAATTTAGTTTCATGATTATTGTTTTTACTGGTAATTTCGAAATACAAACTTACTATGAAATAATAATTACATAAATTTGGAAGAAAAAAAACTCTCCAATCGAGTAAACCACTATTAAATAAACTTTTCCTCACACTTCTTTACTATTATTTTCATTCAACACTTGAAAATAAAAAGTAAAATCACCAAGTTTTATTTCAGATTCCGATTTTGATCGATTTAAAGTTGCACGCTGTCTATCCATAATATTTTCTGACAATTCTGTTAATGCTTTTGATGTTGACGGAAACACAGCAGCAGAGATCGTAGTTGTCTTCAATTGTTCCTGGAAAACAATTTTTAAGCAATTTAAGAAAACTTCTGTTCTATCCATGAACTGTATATAAATGAAAAAATCCTATTAATTGAACTTAAAACTATCGCATCACATTATAATAGGATTTGCTGCAAGATTTGACCACTTAACACTAGATTGCACAAGGAAGTCATTTTGACTGCTTTTTAATTTCAACTAGAAAAACAATGATGTATATATTGACACAATTTCTTAGAATTTTGCGACTTTCTGTACAACATATAATTTTTTTTATTGTTAATATTTACTAATAACTTTTTATATAACTGCAAATAATATAAATAAATTAATTTTAAACAAATTTCTTTACACATTATTCTTTCACAATCTAGTCATTTTGACTGTTTTTGGGAAAAAATATAGGTATATACTAAGTTTGTGTTTCTAGTGTTAATAAACTTTACTTATTTTATAATTTGAAGATACACTATGTCATTAATCATCCTAATACTTTTACATTAATATACCTGACCATTGATGTACCGAATAATTAGTATATCTAGTACTTTTTCGAATTCAGTTTTCACATTTATTTAGTTAACTAGGAAATTTTAAAACAGAATAGGAAAAAAAAAGAAATGAATAAATGAATTAGAAAATTACTGAATCAGTCAAGAAAAATTTTGACTAAAGATTCGCTTTTAATAAATTAAATTTCTATTAAAGACAATGGTTACGTTACAATTGTTTTGTATCAGTGCAGAAAAAAAATATTTTACTGGTATTTCATTTTTTTCCTTAGGCTTTCCTGCTGCCTTCTTCGGTAAAGTAGCACTTTTCTGTTCATCTGTTAGAGGCAAATCTAAAAATGGAAATCTGATTTTAAATACAAAAAAAATTTATTAGCAAATTTTTAGAAGTTCAATTTTGACAATTTGATATTTTTTCTGAAATTGAAAAGTAAACGCAAGAAATGCACAAAGGTCAATAAAAAATTCCAAGTTTTCTTTAAAAGCTTTAATGCAAGAGTGCATTACATTAAAAAATAGAAATCACGTGGTTATAGAAATTAATTCATCAATTTCTACAAACTCTTGTTTCGATAAATTAATATTTATATTTATTTATTTATGTAATTATTCAATCTATATAAATAAAGCAAATGTTTATATGTATTCGCATATGTATGCATATATGTTTGCATGTACAGTCCGCAAAAAAAAAAACGAATCACCCTGAATAACTTTCGTTCTAATGATCGGATTTTCACGAACTAAGTGTCAATCTTAATGGTTCCTGGGGGTGACCTCAAATATG